TTGTTTCCTATCCAATAAGGCACATCTTACACTTCCCCCACCCAGCCCTGGAAGTAGCCAAGCAGCCAAGTATCCAAAGAATCTTGGTGTCTCTTAATAATATATATAATGTATATTATATATGTATTTACTAATCAAGACCCAGGAGCTAGGTGTCCTCATTACTAATGAGAAATTGCTGATCTTAGGGAACAGGGACAAGAATACATATACAAATAGGTTCTTGTAACCACTGATCCTTTCTATCTCATTATATTGAAGACTTGTGTTCTTACTAATGTATTCAAATTATCTAGTCGATTCTGCAATATCCCTTTATATACTGTAATTCTCTCTTCAGTTCTTAGAATACATATTACATTCTACATATATAATATATACATGTAATATATGGAACTATATTAAGAATCAAAGCTTATCCTCACTTAGAGGATACACTTCATGTACTTACTACTCAGTGCCCCAAAGTGACCAGTCTTCCATCTGTGCTGACACACCTTCTCTGTTTGTTTATGCTAATTACTTCACTTTGATTCACACGCTGAGTGCTTGCAATGTCCAGATGACCCTGTCATCTTGCCTAGACCCAACACCCATTCCAGGCTATCATTCCCCATGGACAGCCCTTTGCTTTTGCTGAAAGTTTGAAAACCATTGTTAGGTGTCCTCTCTAGGGCATGGCAAAGAGGCCTATGTCCCAATCCCTAAAATCTACAAATGTTACTTTCTATTGTAAAAGGGACTTTTCAGATGCAGTTAAAAATTTTGAGGTGGAGACATGATCCTTGTCCTAACTTGCTTCTCTGTTGTTGTGATAAAACACTGACCAAAAGAAACTTGAGGGTGAGAGAGTTTATTTGGCTTACATGTGCCAAACACAGTACATCACTGAAAGAAGTCAAGGTAGGAACTCAAGGGAAAGCAGAGGCAGGAACCATGGGAGGAAGGCTGGCCACTGATTTCTATTCTGGCTCACACTCAGCCACCTTTCTTATACTTCTCAGGACCACCCATCTAGGACTGGAACAATGCCCAGGCCTTCTCACATCATCCAACAATCAAGATGATCCCACCCAGACACAGCAACAGGCCAATAAGATGAAAGCATTTCCTCAGTTGGGATCACCTCTTCCCAGATATGTCAAGTAGACACTTAGATTAGCCATCATGATCTTGAATTATTAAAGTGATCCCAATATAATTTCAAAGGTCCTTGTAAGTGGGAGATAGGAGTGTTGGGGCCACAGGGAGAGGGATTGCAAGGTGCAAAATTGAAGGCTTTAAAGAAAGGGAAGGCCAGTACCTGACATTAAGAGTAGCTTATTGTCAGACACTGGAAAAGACAGGGAGACAAATTCTCTGCTTGGGTCTCCCTTGCCAACACCTTGATTTCAACCTGGGTTTGGACTTCTGCTGTCCAAGCTAACAGTCAATACTGTATTGTCTTACAGCATCTAGTTTGTGGTGACTATGATGGTTTGAAAGAAGATGCCCCCCCCAAAGGGAGTGGCACTATTAGGAAGTGTAGCCTTGTTGGAGTAGGTGTGGCTTTGTTGGAGGAAGTGCGTCACTGTGGGGGTGGGCTTTGAGGTCTCCTATGCTCAAGCTACTCCCAATATCACAGTTGTCTTCCCTTTGCCTGCAAGATGGAGGACTCTCAGCTACCTCTCCAGCGCCATGTCTGCCTGCATGCCGCCATGTCCCACCACGATGATAATAGACTAAACCTCTGAACTATAAGTGAGCCACCCACAATTAAATGTTTTGTTCATAAGAGTTGCTATGGTCTTGGTGTCTCTTCACAGCAATAGAAACCCCTACCTAAGATAGTGACTTGTCACTAAGCCAGCAGAAGCCAATATGTTCGTTCTGCCCAGGCTCTGATGCTCTCTACCCAAGGTTCCCCCTGTGTGTGCACACTCCTCACACTGCACTCAGAATCGGACTTCCATGGTCGCCAGCCATGGCTGCTCACCTTCCTAACTGACTGAGAACTACAAAATATGAGGGGGTGGGGAAAAGAGAATACAGAAAAGGGAAAGGGGAGAGAGCCTGCTCTGTCCCGGCCACCCAGGTACCAATAATCCCCTAGCAAAGGGATACCAGCTGTTCTTGAGAGATCCTGAGAAGGAAGGGGACTTTGTACTACACTGGGCTCTCACTCCAGGCCTTGGCCGGTTCCCCTCTTGCTGTTGGGCCAAGGGAGATGCCTTATCCCTGCTAACATAGGACAAGAGTAATTGCCACTCTTAGCTCCCTTTTTATTTTATAATAAAATACAGTTGATCCCTTCTGTAAATCCTGCAGCACCCCAGAGACTAAATGTGAACACAGAAGAAAGATAACGACATATAAAGAATTATTGAAGCCGGGCGGTGGTGGCTCACGCCTTTAATCCCAGCACTCGGGAGGCAGAGACAGGTGGATCTCTGTGAGTTCGAGGCCAGCCTGGGCTACCAAGTGAGTTCCAGGAAAGGCGCAAAGCTACACAAGAGAAACCCTGTCTCCAAAGACCAAAAAAAAAAAAAAAAAAAGAATTATTGACAACCACTGAACAGGCCAGTCTCAACTCAAGTTCTACTGCAGGATGCTCCCTGCCTCACTCCTTGCTACAAACCCACCACATAATACAGTATGGCTCTCCGTGTCTGAGTCTGGGTAAAACTAACACCACCTTTACTCATAGCAAAGGAAAAAAAATTTAACCTAGCCTCAGACTGGCACCCCTAAGGCTTCCCTTTCTTCTGTGTGATTAATCACTTCTCAAAATGAAAGACTGAGATATCCTAAACCCTTCCCCATAGATATGATCTGGCTCTGTGGTCCAGATTACAGTAACTTTCCATCTGCAGTTACATTATAAAGTCTGCATCAATCAGTTCAATATCTAACCAGCAACATTTCATGTCAGTCACAGCCATGCCAACGTTAGCCTAATTTTTTTCATTCTTGCCCCATCCAAGATTTTAAAGTTTTGCAATCAGGTTGCAGCCACTGTTGCTTAGTTACCAAATAATGATTTCAATAACCACTGAAAATGACCCCTTGACACAAACTGTTTCACCCAGTACTAGCATGTGGGAAGACAAAGTAAAACACTAAGAAGGAAGCTCCTGATACATAACCTCCCGTGTCCCTTGACATTTCTAATCTTGTCACCACTGAGTGTCCTGAAGTCAGCAGAGATTACCTCATTATAGCCATCACTTGTTTATGTAAGTGATTATAAGTCCAAGCTCATTACACATTCTTATGCGTATTGTTAAGACCATCTTATGCCAACTCAGAGGATCTTCTGGAATTCACAACCCAAGCAAGGTTCATCCAAGTCATTACATCATGAACTTCCTTGTACTTAAAAGGTACCCTGACTTTCCACACTTCATCTCGTCCTGTGGTGATTGCTGTCCCCTCCTCCATCTTTTGGGACTGCCCTGGAGGTCTGCTCTTGCTTCTTTCATGCCAGAGGAATCTTCACTCCAAAGCCTTTGCAAGGGTATTTGTCTTGCCTGGAATCCAAATGAGTATTGCCCTTGCAAATTCCTCCTCAAATGGGTTTTCTTTGGTTAGGAAATTATAATCACTCTGTTTGAACCGCTGCACTACCCACTTCATCCCACAGGGAGTCTATTTCCTCCATCCTGGACTACTTTATTTTTCCATAGCAACAAGCATTTTCAAAACGCCGTGCAACTTGAGCAAATATAATGTATTTTATTCATTATCTATATTCTAGTTGTTCAAATTCTCCAAGTGCAGGGATCTCTGTGTGTTGTTAGTGATGTAAAGTATCCCAGCTACCTAGGCACTTATCAAGTACCATATATATATATATATATATATATATATATATATATATATATATATATATATATATATATATAATTTCGTGAAAGAATGAATTAGCACAGAAGAATGTGAGGAAGAACAATGTTTAATCAGTCCTCTTTTTCAAATAAACGAAAGATTAGAGAATATAAAGAAGTTATGAAAGATCACATTTCTTACAGTCTTGGTTCCAGTCCAGACTTCTCTCCCTAGAGCTAAGACTCAGCCACACTGTGTCTATTAGTTTGTTAACTTGGCACAAGCTAGAGTTGTCTGGGAAGAACAACCTCAGAGACAATTCCTCCATCACATTGCCTGTGAGCAAGTCTGTAGGGCCTTTTCTTAATGATTGATGTAGGTGAGCCCTCAGCCCACCACCTACAGTGGGCCAGTGCCCCTCCTGGGCAGGGGGTATACGAAAACAGGCTGAGTGAGCCATGAGAAGCAAGGCAGTGAGCCATGTCCCTGCATGGCATCCCCTTCAGTTCCTGCCTCCAGGTTCCTGCCCTGGCTTATCTCAGTGATGAACTATAATCTAAGGGGTGAAATGAACCCTTTCCTTTCCAGGTTGCTTTTGGTCGTGGTGTGTTCTCATAGCCATAGAAACCCTAAGACGTACACCAATAATGTTTGCCTGTAGGGAAGGTGGGAGGGAACGCTGGCGTGGTGGTGCGGAAGAAAGAGCAAACTCAAAATGCCAAGCTAAGCAGTTTGGATACTTCCCACCGCGAGAGCTCCACGCTGAATGGTGATGTAATTAGACATGTATCTTCGAAAGAAAATTCAAACAGCTGCCAACTCGAGCAGCGAAAAACCGGCAAATTGTCAGTAGAGAAAAGCACCACACGTAATGAGGCTTAATGCCGCTCTAAGATTCCCACGACTAAAAACGGCTCATTTCCTTCCCATTCATCCATAGGTGGTTCATTCACCCGAGTCGCCTCTTAGAAGAAGTCTGACACAGTATGCATCGTTGTGAAAGCACACTTTATTCATCTGCATTAGACAGTGAGGAACTATCAGCAAGTGAGTGATCTGCCATTGGGGTGCAGTCACAGTTTTCAGCAGTATTCAGAAGCACCAGGTGTGAGGCACCCTTTTCCTCGAGGGACGGGCTGGACTACCTGACGCGTCGTCGCAGTGCTGACCGGCTATTGAGGCGTTGGCTCAGGGTGTAGATGCGCTCTCCGGCCAGCAGCGCCTCACGGCATCACTGTAGTGAGTGTTCCTCATTGTCAAGTAAAAATCAGTTACCACCCACAGTCTGACTTCAGTCAATTGGTTGACTGGCCCCTGAGATACAATCTTTGAATCACACAGTCTTGGTTAATTAAGTCAGAAAGAGAAAAACGGTCAAGTCACATAGTTGAGGATACAGAAATTATAAATAACATATATATTAATAGAAATTCATTTTCATCACATAAAAGTTGCTATTATAAATACTTCTTTGGTTGATGAGTCTAAAAATATACTTTTCATATAAATAATTGTTAAATATTAATAAATAGATTTAGATTTAAAATTCAAATAGTTTTGCTGGCAGCGTTATTCTTATTTGGACGAGCTCCACCCCCGAAACAGCACCGGCTCCTTTTTCGCTTCCTGAGGCTATTTTTTGGCGACAGGCGGTACATCACTCCGAGGAGTTCATTGACAGCTTTGCGCTGGACCTGCGGGTCATCTACCTGTTGGGGGTACAAAATGAAATTAAGTCCAAGCATGCAAGCCGCTGGAATAGTCTTCTTTTAATATCATGATCAGTGAAAATGGAAATATTCCTATTAAGAAAGTAATTCTATACAGCAAGACATTCTCTTCATTTGTTGTAGTGTCTTTGTTATGGTCACTTTGTCAGCAGTTTAGACTATAAGGATCGTTCAATGTCCACGTTGTACAAGAAGGAATGGGATGGGTGACACCACATATCTAACTTTAATTTAACTGCTACAGAAACTCAAAATGGAATACTAAAAAGGTTCCTGGGTGGAATGGGAGCTGGGGGTGGGAATGAGTTTGCAGTAACCCTAGCCTTGAACTAGACACTTAATCTCCTAGAACTTGCTTTCTTGTGAAGAGCCTCCTGAGTGATCTCTTCATCTACAAAGTCTGCCACTCTATGCTTTGATTAGTCCTTTCTAGTCATACAAAAAAAATTCCTGTGGGCCAAGGCTCCCCTTGGTATAGCAGAATGCTTTGATGATCTACCAAGGAGCCCAGAGATCCAGGTACAGGAAGGAGAAGGCCCATGCCTTTGGGAGATAAATTCCTTCAAGAGATACTGATACCAGCCAAAGTTTGAGAGCTACCAACACAAGCTGAGTACTAAGGGAAAAGATAAACTCAAGTCCAAAATAAATGAAAAATGTCATTTTAAATTTCTCCCATATCAGATCAATGTCATCATGGCTAGAATGGAATTAAAAATGAATCATGTTCATATTAGTAATAATCAATTTGCTGACAACACCTGAAATTTGGAGGTACAACAATATTTCCTATCCTCTGCCTTCTATTCCATTAGTCTAAACAACTTCTCCATTCAAAGCAGGAAGGCCACTTGGGCAACTTAATGCTTAATAAAATGAAGATCATTTACTGTTACCTGGCTTGTTTTGTCTAATGCTAGAAATACTCTGACTTCCTTGCTACATATCCAAGAAGGATTCAGAGGCTTATAGGACATAAGGCTATTTACTAAAGAGTGTGTGTGTGTGTGTGTGTGTGTGTGTGTGTGTGTGTGTGTGTGTTCTTAAAACATGTTGACAATGCAACAAAACAGGCCAAGAGGTAAAAGCTTGCTCAAGATCACCCATAGGAAGCACAACCCCAGAACTCCCAGAAAGACGGAACCAAGGCCTTAGGAGTAGCAAGTCTCTACCAGCTGTGTGTTGGGAAGACAAATTTATTTCCCAGCTTTCAAAACATTGCTAAGCATCCCAGAGACTTAGCCAGACCTGAACAGTAAGCCCAAAGTGGAAGTGAGTTAGGAACAAGTACTTTATCCATCTCTAGCTGATGGACTAGGATCTTCTACCATCTTCCAGCCCCTGCTACAGAGCATGAGACAGGTTAGAGGTGGGCTCAGGTAGACTGAAAGTTGAGTACAAATAATAAGGCCACAAAACACAGAAGAAGACACCTGTCCCTCTCTTTCATTTGAGCCCATTTACCATCAAAGCCTAAGAGTTCAGAATGTCTTTGCATTATAGATAAAATTTAGAAAAATGAGATTTGTCTTTATGTCTTCCAGTTATCTTTCAGATTCTGGAAGCTGTGATTTAAAGGCTTAGGATGGATTCATGATATAAAGCATGGAAGAACTGGAATACCCCCATATTGGAAAGTTAATTGAACGGGCCTTTCATAAGCTACACAAAGCAATCCTTCCCAGGATGTCTACCGTTACTTCTCCTCAAAGTAAGTTGGACTGCATAGCATGAGAGGCTAACCAGAGACTAGGGTATCACATCGAGGTGTCTCCTCCGAGACTCTGCTCCTTCTCTGTTCTCACTCTCATTTTCTATCTATAACACTGTGCAGGTTTGGTTTGGTTTGGTTTTTGGCAAGAGAGATTAAACTTATGTAGTGATCCCAGCTGGTTCCTATCGAGATGAGGCAATGACAGCCCCGCCAGGCATGTGAGTCATCTGAAGTCACAGTTCCTTGTGGCCTGGCTGGGAGGAGGAGCACACGAAGTCTTCTCACTCCCTCCCACTGCTCTTTCCACTAACACACAACCTCCCATCCTAAGCGAGAGTTTCCATCACACACCCGGGGGGGGGGGGGGACCACAAGAGCCCTGCTCGCTACTCCCCTTGGCTGCTTCCTCCTCAGCATTTACCCATCGTGTGGGCAACGGTTTGAATGTCTGTGTTTTTCCAAAGCGGACAAAGTCCCTCCCAGCATGCCCATGATGAGGAAACATCTCAGACAAGGGCTTGTCTCCCAGCTTCATCAACTGTGCAGTAACCAATTTCTACCATCAGATAATTCAACACAGTGCAAAAATACATTCAGACGATATTTTGCAAAGTTGCCTCACCGGAATCTTCATGACCTTCATGAAGTCGTCCCGTTTCTCCTCACTGCTGTTGAAGAAGTGAACTAACAGGTCTTGCTCAATGGTGCCTATGCTCTCCTGGATGGCCTGGTTGTCCTTCAAGGCATCGAAGAGTTTGAAGTAGAAGGAGATAATCTGGCTCTCAATGATTTTTATATCACCGTCCTTGGGAAACAATAGCACAAAGAGTGGATGATGGGAACTGGTCCATTAGAAACAGGGGGTGGGGGGAGGAAATAGGCAAAAAGGACCATTTAGCTTACCTTTTGCCAGTTCCTCAAGATATCAGAGAAGAGTTCCCCTCCATCCCCGACATCTGAGCTACTTGAGTTCTGTGGAAAAAGAAAAGGTGAATTTGTAATTAGTTCACCAACCACCCTAAAAATATCTATGGAGTTCATCGAACTCAGGGCTGACAATAGTCAATGATTTTCTTCTCAACCCTTCCATTTGCTTCTAACAAGCATCACCAAAAGATTCCACGTTCGATTTAGTCAAAGACTATTACATTCTTTTGGCTTTAGTACTTACTAGCCTAATCTTGAATTGCAAGGCCACGAATGAACTCAAAAAAGCTGATGAGATTTCAAGGACCCCAAGTAGCTGCAGTGAGCTAAAGAAAGTTGCTCTCAATTTAAGAGAGGGAGAAAGAAAAAAAGCCATCCAATCAATCCCATTGTACACACTGCCCCCTTATGGTACAGGCTTCTGTTACAACTGTCTGCAAGCTTAGGTCTTAATGGCTGCTTTAAAAGATAGCTCCAGACACATGTGTGAGACAGCTGGGTTTGCATTGTGAGGATAAAATTGCCTGTGCATGCTTGAACATTAGTATAATAGCTATGTATATAATAGTATACGTTCAGGAGAAATTATAAAATTTTAAGAATAAAAAAAAGTATTTTCATTAACCTTAGTTAATTCGAAAGGAAATTCACAAAAGAAAATAAATATAAAACTCTAAGAAACATAACTCCTCTCAGTCCTCAGTAAGTGGCTAGCTTCAGCGATAATTCACTTGTAGTAGAATTTCAAAATCTCTCATTAGAAAAAACATATGCAGGGGGAAGTTCGTAAGCAGAAACTTAAAGAACTTTGCCTTCTGTTTCTTTTAAGTGCTAAGTTGTTTCCCTGGGTGTTTTTTAATGGCAATATTCATCTCTCACTATCACTTTCATAGTAGTCTGAAGAATGAGAAATGAATAGCCAACCATGAGGGTAAGAATGCTTCTTATCATGACTAAACAATATAAAAAAAAATCACAAAATGATAACGTATGTTTGTACCTTATACTCATACTATGCCCAACTTTGGGGAGATTTGTAAGTGCCCTGTCAGTCTCTATACCAAACTGAACAGAGAGTTAAATCAGTATCAAGATTATTAGGTCAATAAACACCTCGCTAGCGAAGAGCAACATAGCACCCCATCTTCTCAAAATGACTGTGGACCAGACGGCAGTCTAGTGTTGAAAGCGGCAAGTCAATGTCAGTCATTTTCAACTACAAGCGTTATTAAAAGGTCATACTCACAAAATGTTTCTTCAGATTTTCTATTTCTTCAATGAGTGTGCCCTGGCAGTAACAGCCAGAAATAGCCTGCGTGAGGCAGAGCAACAAAGCCAAGATGCAGCACGTCGCGTTCATTGTCTCAGAGCTAGGCCAACGCCGTCGGAGTCCGGAGCACCTGGATTAAGCCAATGGGTCCAAAGGACTCGGTGATGTGTCTTCTCTAGTAGCCGATCGGCCAATGGAAGCTATACCCTGTTGCCTCCTTTTCTGCCAGTATTTATACCTCATCGAAGCCTCCTGGGGATTACGTATTTTCACACGTTTTTTAAAATGAGATGGTGACAGATAGGTGGGGAGCAAACTTACTTTGCATTGTAACTCTGGTTTTGTGGCATGGCAAGGTTGTAGCTAGAGTTTCCTTTCGACTCCTTGGGCTCTCTGACGATGAGCCAGGACCCACTGTGCCCACCTGTGCCATTCTTGTGGGATCCTCTGAAAGCGCTTTTACTTCTCACACCCTCTGGGGCTGGAAATTGCTGTTACATTCTCCCCCTCTGCCTTTGTAAAGTGAATTCCTCATCTACAGAGCAGAGCATATTGAGTATTTGCTTGTGGTTGGGGACAGCTGAAGAAGGAAACTCTTGGGCTTCTCCAACCCCTGCAAAGGGGAAGCCTTTCTAAAAATTTTCTTGCAAATGACCAGAAAGCAAGGAAGGTGTATAGTTTTAAAAAAAAAAAAAAACCAATGTGGCTAGGAAGCCCTTCATCAGCGGTGATCAGTAAAATACCTACCACAAGTTCAAGATCACTCAAGGTCAAACTTCCCCAAAGGAATAAAATGTAGGCAACACAGATAAAATATAATTGTTTAGCTTCTCCATTAATAAAAGTAAAAATGCAAGAATAATTTCTTAAATATTGTATTTCAACCAACATATCTAAGCTAACATTTCAGTGTGCATCAAGGGACATGATGAATGGGTCTCTATTCCTCTGCCACTAAATCTTTAAAACCTGGTGTACATCTTATATGCACAGCAGAAATCACTTTGGGGCTAGCCATATTTCTAATGCCCATGCCCACATATGGCTGTGGCTATCCCATTGAATAGTCCAACACTAAACACACACTTGTCCTAAATAACCATTAATAACTGAGAAATGCCCCCCTCAAGTTCAAACAAGAAAATTCCTCTTTCTTCTTTGATAATCTAGCTATGAGAGTCAACCCTTCAGGATGCAAAGGAGGCCCTCTGATCTTCCTGCCTTCCCTGTGTATGTTAGCCTATAGTGGTTGTGGATGCAGACCCCAATCCTTCATATTCTAGCTGTAGGATCTTGAGTGAACATCTTTATGATCTGTGACTCAGTTTCTTCCTCTGTGCAGTGAGCTTAATGCTGGTATTTCCTTTCGGACTTCAGCCAAAAAGTTCAGTCAAATGATCCATGGAGAGTGGTGAGAATTCACAATAATCACTCAATAAAAGTTATCTAGTATTGTTTGGAAATTCTGAATGGGTACCCAGCCCTTTAATAACACTCTGCATCTTGTTCATGTGGTGCCTTTGACCTTGTGTTTCCTTTCCCCTCATCTGTGCATCTCAGAATGGTACCCAATTACCTTGACCCAGATGAAAAATCATCATCCCGTTGAGTTCTTCCCCAAGCCCCCAGCTTCAAATCAGTCTCCCATCATCTACACTGGGCTAACACTTTATATGTTTTTCATGGAGTCTCAATTCCTCAGTCTCATACAGGAGCGATCTATTCATCTTTTCCCACTGGGGGCTGATTTCCTTACAATCAGAAAGTATTCTGTTGCTTCCATGACATCCTTTATTTCCCCTCCAACATTTAAGCATAGCGATTTACACACACACACACACACACACACACACACACACACACACACACAAGCATTTGAAAGTGTATCCAAGAATGTATTTGATGACTGTCGATGAAGCTCAACAGGTTGAGTGCTTGCATAACATGCCCATAACCCTAGCTTAAAACAGGCATGAAATGTGGATGGAAGTAGAGGTAGGGTGATCAGGAGTTCAAGGTCACCTTCTGCTGCAGTCAGTATAAGAATTATTTTTTAATTAATTTTTTAATTACACTCATGATATTAATCACATTTGTGGTATTCATTGATTATATTCACAGTACTTATTTAACAATTATATTTATGATATTCATTAATTATATTAATTGCATTGATTTATTACATTCGTGATATTATGTCCTGATACTACTGTCCATTTGTGGGGCTTTTCCATCGCACAAAACAGAGATTCTGTACTTAGGAAATCATTGCTCTATATTCCTTTTACTCCATCTTGAGATAGCGTCTAATCTGTCTGTCTCTATGAATTTGTATATTCTATATATTTCATGTAATACAATTCTATAGTATTTGTCCCTTTTTTAATGTAAAAACATTTTATGTACAACTGCAGGGGAAATAATACACAGATAGCCTGAACATAAAAACAGGTTATAATTTAAAAGTCCATTATAAGAACCTGTCTCAAAAATAAATAAATAAAAAAGTCTAGCCAGGTGGCAGTAGCTCACACCTTTAATCCCAGCACTCAGAGGCAGGCAGATCTCTGTAAGTTCAAGGCCAGCCTGGTCTACAGAGTGAGTTCCAGGACAGCCAGGGCTCCATAGTGAAATCCTGTCTCGTAAAGCAAAAAGCAAAGCAAGAAACCTATATTGAGTTATTTGCTTCAATTTTTTTTTCAGTTCCAATGCTATTCCCTCCAATTTGTAGGAAATTAGCTTTCTATTAAGTGTAATTTATTATTAATGCTAAAAAACAGTGTCATATCTCCTTAGCTAATACCCAATGACTGGGACCAGTCTATGCTTTTTATTAATTTTTAATAATTATCTTTGCACTCCCAGCAACAATGGATGTGTGTTCTTATTCCACATCCTCAACAGCATGAGCTATCACTTGCATTACTGATCTTAACCATTCTGACAGGTGTAAGACAGAATCTCAACGTAGTTTTCATTTGCATTTCATCCCCCTGATGGCTAAGGGTGTTGAACATTTCTTTAATGTTTCTCAGCCGTTTGAGTTTTCTCTATTGAGAATTCTCTGTTTAGATCTGTACCCCATTTTTAATTGGATTATTTGGTAGCAATAAAATGACTCCTAATGACATTCTGCTATTCTCATAGATTAGTGTCTTGCTCACCTATCATCAGAGAAGCTTCCTCCTGCAGCAAATGGAACAAACACAGAGACCAACAGCTAGACAAATGCAGAGAGACACACACCTTGGAACATACAGCCCTAAGCGAGATGTCTCCATCAAATCCTTCCCCTCAGAGCTCAGGGAACCCTGAGGAGGAAGAGGCAGAAAGAGTGTAGGAGCCAGCAGGGATGGAGGACACCAGGAGAACAAGGCCTTCTCAATCAGGTGAGCAAAGCTCATATGAACTCACAGAGACTGAAGCAGCAGACACGTGGCCTGCACAGGACTCCACCTTTGCATATATATTCTAGCTTTCCGTTTAGTATTTCTACTGTACTCCTGAGCATGTGAACGAGTGGGTCTCTGATTCTTGTGCATTCTCTTGGGGCTCTTTTTCCTTCTGCTGGTTTGCTTTGTCCAGCCTCAATGTGATGATTTTGTTTTGTTTTGTTTTACCTTATTATACTTTATTTTGTCATGTTTGGTTATCTCTTTGAAGCCTGTTCTTTTCTAATGAGAGACAGAAAGAGGGTGCATCCAGATGGAAGGGGAGGTTGGGAGGAGTAGAGGAAGGGGAAACTGTAATCAGGATACATTGTATGAGAAAAGAATCTATTTTCAATAAAAGGGGAGAAAAGCATTAAACTACACAAATGCACAAATTAATAAATTATAAGAAAAGCAAAAGAAAAGATTTATGATTTTCAAATGTATTTAAAAAAGGAGAAGAACAAAACTGATCTTTGCAGAGTTGTCTTCTGAAAAAAAAACAAAGTCCAAATGAAACTGTGAGGTCACAGGCTCCCAGGCAGCAAGGGATGAGTGTGGAGACAACGTTGTTGCACACAGGCTCCGTCATTGTTCCATCCAAGGAGAAGTACAAACCAGAGAAAATCCTTGAGGAAGACACAGTGTTGTAAGTCAACACGCATCAATGACTTCAGACACACTATTGCCACTCCATCCCTTCTAGACACCAATATCCAAACCTTGAGTCTCTAGAAGGAGGATTGGAAATATTCTGGAATAAGATCAAATATTGTTCTATCTATATCTCAGTTTTTTTCAGTGAAATACAGCATTAAGGAGAGAAGAATTAAGAAAAATGGGGGTCAGACAAGAGGGCTCTATGGGCAAAGGTGCTTGCCGCCAAGTCTGAACACCTGAGTTCAAATCTGGGGACCCACAAAGTAGAAGAAGAGCGTCAATTTTTGCAAATTGTCTTCATGGGTACACTATGGCATGTCCCTAGCCCCACCCCAAACACATACACAAATAAAATAAAAAATACTTTTAAAGAACTGTGGGACCCATCATAGGGCCTTGTCTGTACCCCCACTATTTGTAAGTTAAGAATTCCTATTCAGGATTAAAGATATGTATTGAAGTTATGCATACAATTTGGCCAAATGTTCAGATTAGAAGCTACATGGCTAAAACTGAAGCTCTCACAATGCTTGGTGCCATGATGGAACACAGAATCGTGGCATTGCTGAAGCTGCCAACGTTCTATCAGTTTACATGAAGACCCGGAAAAATAAAAGTGGCGTGTTTAGATCCATTCAACTAGTCAATGAAAAGCTGAATCTAAAACCCCAAGACATTTTCCTTAATCAGCCCTCTTCCTAATTGATCGATATCTCCTAAAACTTATTGAACACATTTCTAATGTCTATGTGAGATATGCGAGTTGAAATAGAGAAACCCAATAAAGTTTGCGTGTGCAGGTTGTTGTTGTTGTTGTTGTTGTTGTTGTTGTTGTTGTTGTTGTTTTCCTGTGGAATTGGTGAGAGAGTAGCTACATTTGATTCCTTTACTGAGAACAAAAGCTGTGGGATCCTGGGCTAGGCCTTCCCGCTGACTTCACAGGCGCACAAACTGCGCAATCCGCCAGGACACCGAAGTCGGAACAGCCCACACCACTTC